GCTCAAGTTTACCTGCATATGAAATCGTCTTGGTGTTCCAGGTGCTTAAGAAATCATTTACCGTATCTAGGAGTGGCGCATATTGGGCCACGGAGATTTTTAAAGGCGCAAGTGGGATACCGAGATATCTCACCGGGAAAGCTCCACGATCAAAGTCCACGAGGTCTAAAATACCCTGCAAATCGTAGCTATTAACCCCACCAACAAAAATATTAGATTTGTTATGGTTAACCCTTAGGCCCGATACGTCCCCAAACTCATTAAGAGCCTCAACCAATATTCCAATGGAGTATTTGTCTCCTCTCGAGAAGAGCATATGATCATCCGCATAGGCCAAGTGGGTTATACCCAAGGACCCACAAAGCGGGTGGTGGTTAAAGCCCGATACTTTAGATTTCATGGTAAGAAGGCGAGAGAAGTACTCAAGGCATAGAACGAAAAGCATCGAGGACATTGGATCCCCTTGCCTAATGCCACGCTTACCCTTAAAGAAACCATGCAAAATTCCATTCAACGAAACAGAAAAAGACGCGGTAGTAACGCACTCCATTATCCAACCCACAAATAAATCGGGGTAGCCCAGACCCTTAAGAACATTGGCAAGAAAATCCCAAGAAATAGTATCATAGGCCTTGCGCAAATCCACCTTAATCATACAACGAGGTGAGATTCGCTTCCTATTGTATCCTCTAACAAGTTCCTGGGCGAGGAAAATGTTATCAAACATTAGGCGGCCATCCAAAAACGTACCTTGTGCTTTGTTAATCAAACCCGAAAGGGTAGGGATTAATCTTGCCGCAATAATCTTCGTAATGATCTTGTAAAGCACATTAGTACACGAAATAGGTCTATAATCTGAGACCATGGGGGAGTGACTAGTTTTAGGAATTAGAGCTATCACAGTATGATTTAGCTGTTTAAGCATCTTTCCCGAGTTAAAGAACTCTTTGATCGCCCGAGTCACATCCCCCCCACAACATTCCAATTTTTCTTAAAAAATGCCGATGAATAGTTGTCCGGCCCCGGTGCCTTGTCATCCCCAATATCAAACAAAGCATCTTTAATTTCTTTGTTAGTTATCAGAGATAATAGGTGATGGATAGTCTACCCGGGGGGAATATATCCGAGGGGTTATTGCTGAGAATAACTTAGAGAGAAGTCAGAGCACAAATAAGTAAGAGAGAGTGTATTCAGTATCAATGCCGTGGTTACAAATGGGGAAATGGGGTGCTATTTATAGTAGCAATAAATGCCGGACATGGACACGTGTCAAGTGCCCATTGGCCGAGGGGTCACCTCAACTGGTTGGCGTTGGCAGCCGCATGTGGCCGCATTTAATGCGGCTGTTGGATGGGACGTCTGTACAGGGTACGACGATCTGTACGCATGTGAGGCGGATATCATGTCGGGAGAGGTGCCTTCGGCTATAGAGCAGCAGCCGAGGGCTCCTCAAACCGATGGCACCCTGGTGCCGAGGGCTCCTGGTGCCGAGGGCTACTGTTTTTGCCGTTTTCTCCCAGTTTCTTAGTTTGCTTGAGAAACCCGTTCTGTGAGAGTTTAGAGCCTTCGGCCAGGGGGCCGAAGGCACCCCTGCCGCGTAGTGCGGGCTGCTTGGTACTCTGGGCGCTGTGATTTGGGCCTGTTGGGCCTTTACTGGAGTAGTAGGAGTATGTGGGCCGGGGGTTCCCGAGCCATATACTCCATCAGGAGTCCCTCACTCCTTTTGCCGAAAGGTATTTGAGGGAAAAGGAGTAATTTGTGCTTGCCCTTTGATGTTGTCCCGTCGTGATCTCTGAAGTTGGTGAGGAGTTGTTGCTTTTATGTCCCTGCCGAAGGCAGTCCCTCAGTTACCCACATGTCGGGACTTGAGGGCTTGCTTTGTCGTTTGTTGGATTTTCACTAATTTTGTAATTTAATGATTTTCCCGAGGGGGTCCTCCAGTCCCCCACTCCTTGAGGCACTTGTAAAGTGGTGAAAAGGAGTAGAGTAGTTGTGTTGCTGTTGTGGGCCGAAGGCTGACGCTTTTCGTTTCATTTTTGGGGGGATGCCTCGTTAAAAACCCCATTAGGAAAAACCCTGTGGGAAAAAATCCTAATGAGGGAAAAAGAGTGCACCGAATTCCCCCAACGATGACTCGAAAATGTCAAACCTTGGTCAAAAGTGGAGAATAACGGTAATGCCGAAGGCTCTCTTTTCTGAGGGCTCATGTGTTGATTAGCCGAAGGCTTGCTGTTGATTTCCTGGGGGTGCCGAAGGGGAGCCCCTCAATCTGGGGATCGAGGGCATGATGGATGAGGGCAGTAATTGAATTGTCACCGGGGGGGTCCCCTGCTTGCTGGTTAGTTGGTGATGAGGATACCCGAGGGCTCCCATTACCTGCGTGCTGTAGGCTATCCGTCAATGAGGCAACTTCCCGGGGGCCACCCGGTTCTTACAGTACTGAGGGGGAATCCCCGAGGGGTGCCCTGATATGAAGCCTTGGATTTCTGAAGGAATGATCCCGAAGGCTTCTGTTATGTGCTGTGTGGGGCACAACCCGGGGGCGTTTCTGGGTAAGTGTACCCGGAGGCTCTCCTTGATGAAGTGGAGTGAAGTAGAAAACCCGGGGGCTTCCAGAATATAGCCGTTGGAAATATAGCCGTTGGAATATGTAACGTCAGGTTTATAGCCGTTGGGGGGGTACACGTGGCGAGTGATGGTTGGCTGTCCGTGGGCGGCCTCACCGATTGGGCGATACCGCGGTTTGTAATGATGGCGATCCAACCGGAGGCCCGGTTTCCAGGCCCAAGCCCGGATCCCAGCGCCTATAAATACCCCAAGGCCAGGCCACTCGCCGCTGTGCGATCTCAGTGTAGCGAAGCTCTGGCAAAAAATTTCTAGAGAGAGAAACTTGCCCTCGGTTGAATCCTCAGTTCTCAAGGTCAGTTCCCCCTGCTCTTCTCCTTCTAGTTAGCTGTGCCTTGTGCCCTTAGGCTAGGAGATAGAATTTTCTAGGAAACCTTAGTTCTCCCGAGCCTTCGAATTAGTGAGCAGATGTCATCACAGAGCGACTCCCAGGATATATCGGGGGAGCCTTCGGTCGAGATGGAGACATGCTCAGATGTGGAGTCCTCGAGCGTGGAGTCCTCGGCGGGTGGTGATGCCGCAGTGGCCATGGAAGTGGAGAAGGACCTCCAGGCCGAAGTCGAAGCCGAGGGCTTCGAGCAAGAAAACGAGGACGAAGAGCTCGCCCTCGCCGTGCAAACCGCCGAGCAAGAAGAGGAGAGGGAGAGGATGAAGGTGACGGTTGCCATTCCCCCCCCCCCCCCCCGGGGGTGCCGGGGAAGCCAGCTCCTCCCGGCCATTGGACCCGACGCCCATCAGTGTGGCTCCCGGGAAGAAAAAGAAGATGAAGGCGGCCCCGAGGAAGAAGCAAGCGGCAGTTGATGCTGGGCGACCGGTGGGCATACCCGAAGGCCATTCGTTTCTGAACACTGCCGCTCTAGAGCTGAAGACGAGGGCGTTCCCGGCAGAATACCAGGCCACTCAGATGCTAGTTGGCCCTTCGGCGCGCGTGGTGGAGCCCAGGGCGGATGATTTGTTGCGGTATGCGCCCGAAGGGTGTTTTGCTGTTCACACCCTCTCGGTGGAGATGGGGCTTCGATTTCCGCTTCATCCTTTTCTCTTGGAGTATCTGCAGTTCATGGGGTTGGCCCCCTGCCAGCTAACGCCCAACAACCACTCCTATGTGGCTGGCTTCCTCTCCTTGTGTCAGAGCCGGGGGGGTTGAGCCCACACTTGATCAATTCTTCATGTCCTTCTGTAACACCCCGGTCCCGTTGGCCCCGCACAGACCCGAGGTAGTTACTCTAGACCTCTAGTACTGTCCCCACAAACCACCACGAGCTTTTACCGCGCACTTTGTCCTCACTCATGCGCGCCCTGAGAAACTTCCCAGGGGGTCACCCATCCCAAGACTACTCCCGTGCAAGCACGCTTAACTTTGGAGTTCTTGGGTGATGAGCTCCCTTAAAAGGAGATGCACCTCTGTTTGTATGAGTAGTACTATTAATCCTCTTAAATTAATCTCGGGTATTACAATCACCCCCACTTAGGATCGCAACGTCCTCGTTGCGCCCTTAAACAAATCTCAATCGACCCCCAGAATCTTGCCCCGCTAAGTGACCGCCCGATATCCAACGGGTCAGCACATTGTCGCAGGGTTGCTCTGATACCATTTGTAACACCCCGGTCCCGTTGGCCCCGCACAGACCCGAGGTAGTTACTCTAGACCTCTAGTACTGTCCCCACAAACCACCACGAGCTTTTACCGCGCACTTTGTCCTCACTCATGCGCGCCCTGAGAAACTTCCCAGGGGGTCACCCATCCCAAGACTACTCCCGTGCAAGCACGCTTAACTTTGGAGTTCTTGGGTGATGAGCTCCCTTAAAAGGAGATGCACCTCTGTTTGTATGAGTAGTACTATTAATCCTCTTAAATTAATCTCGGGTATTACACCTTCAACCTCTGCGGGGGGGGCATTCAAATGCTGAGGGCTTTGCCAACCTTCAGCAGGTACCGGAGTTCCGACTTTTTGATGACGTGCCCTCGTCCCACAAGGGGTGGAAGGAGAGGTTCTGCTACATTCGCCTCGAGGAGAACCCCTTCCCGGCCCAGCTCCGCAATAGCTTCCGGCGCCATCCGAAGGTGGGGAGCGCAGCTCTGGAGAAGAATGGCAAAGTGCTTGCCAAGAAGACGGAGGGGTCTGACAAACACGTCAAGATTAGAGACGTCACCCTCCCAGAGGAATTGCTTAGCCTGAGCTTCCGACAGTTCAGGCCGAGGGGCTCTTCGGACGAAAGATACCCTCCCCTCGACCGAGTCTTCGAAGGAGCTGGAGGTGATCACCGAATAGTTCACTGATGCGTTGATAGTTCTTTCTTATTTCCTATCTTTTATGACGTAGTAATTGGTAGCCTTCGGTCTAACCCTCTTGCGTTTTTTTTTCTTTTGTTGCTTGCAGGTAATAACATGGACGTCGGTTCCCTCTTCACTCTGAAGAACGCGAAAGGGAGGAAGAAGGCCCCGGCGGGCACTTCTGCCAGGGAGGGACCCTCCCAAACTGCTGCCGCCGCTGCTGGCGCCGGAGGGTCCAAGGGTGTCGGGCCCGTGAAAAAGAAGAACGCCGGCAAGGGGACCGAGCCCCCGGCCAAGAAGCCAAAGACTAACGCCCCTGCCAAACAGCCGATCACCGATGTGGTGGTGATCGTTGACGAAGGACACGCCTCTGCCTCCACCCCCCAGGAACAAATCAATCAGGAGTTCTTTGGGCGGGAGAAGTTGGAGGCGTTAGTACCGAAGGGAGCCTCCGTGTTGGAGGGCAGTCTGAACCCTTCGGCTCTGATGAGCCAGATGCTGCCGTCGGCCGACCGACTAGCCCTTGCCCGGTTGGACGAGGGATCCCTCGAGGCGAAGGTCCTCCTGAATGCTGCCTCCGTAAGTCACCCCCCTTCTTTGTCGTTGTTGTGTTTTCCTTTTGTACTATGTTCGTCGTGCCTTATTTTCTTGCCTTCGTGAATTGCAGAGCTTTATGGGCCTCTGCGAGCATCTCCGGAGGGTGGATCAAATGAGGGAGGCCAAGGGTATAGCCGAGGGGGAGGCCGCCCTCCTCAAAAAGAAGCTTGCCGAAGCCGAGGACTCTCTCCGTCTGGCCACCGACGGCATGGAGCAGAGGGTGCAGGCTGCAAGGGCCGAAGGGGTTAATGAGGGGCTGGCCAGGGCCGGGGAGGCCGCTGCCGAGGCCGCCCGCATTGCTGCTAATGAAGCCCGCGCGGCTCAAGAAGAGGCCGTCTCCAAGGCCCGAGAGGATGCGGTGACCAGCTTCACAGCCGAGGGGTGGAAGGCCGAAGACCGGAGAGAGTGGCTTGCTTCGGTGGTGGGGGCTTCAGTGGACGAGTGGGTCGGAGGCCCCGGAAAGATGTGGCTTGCTGAGAGGGGCGACTCGTACTACCAAGACGGGGAGTTCTTCACCCAACGCCTTATCTACCGGAAGCTTGCGAAGCACTTTCAGGTGGCACCGGAGGAGTTCCGTCCAGAGGCTTATGGCCTCCCCCCTCGCCAGCCAGACATCAGGATCCCGCTCCCCGAGGGGGAAGAGAGGCCAGTTCTTGAAGACTCGGAGACCCTCCGGGAGTGCGGCCTTGGGGGTGAAGAGGATGAAACCGAGAGCGAGGCAATATCCACAGTCCCCCCTTCTTGAATTGTATTCCCCCTTTTTTGTTGTAATTGTTGGCCTCAGGCTCCTTTGTAAAGTACAATTAAACTTCTTCTTTTTTTGAATGAATGAGTACATATGCCCTCGGGCCTTTGGTATATAATATGCTTCCTTTTGATTTGTTCATCGTCGATTATATGCCCTCGTCTTGTTTTGGATGTATGCCTTTGCTCCTTTGAATGTATGTTTTAGGACTTAGAATATTTTCTGATTGTAGCTTGCCCTTGGAAGCCTTCGGTAGTTGGGCACCCTCTGCTGGATATGCAACCGAGGGTTCAGCAATAATTAGGACTTAGAAAATTTTCCTAAGTGTAGCACACCATAGGGCCTTTGGGTGTTTGTAGTAACCCAATTCCTAGGACTTAGAAAAATTTCTAGGTGTAGTTTTGCCCTCAGATGCCCTCGACTGGTAGCCTCCTTCCTGATGTGTGAATATTGGACCGAGGGCCCAATGTAGAGGACTTAGAAAATTTTTGCAAGTGTAACATGTCATGTAGCCTTCGGCCACTGTGGAGCCCCAACTGAAATGTTGATTAGGCCGGGGGCAAATTCTTTAGGACTTAGAAAATTTTCCTCAGTGTTGATTCCTTGTGTACTGTAGCCTTTGATTGATAGGTAGCCTTCGGCTATTGGATCCCTTTATAAGTTGAGGGTGAAATATGTAGGACTCAGAAAGATTTCTAAGTGCAGATTTTCCCTTGGGAGCCTTCGGGAGATGGCATCCCTTCTTGATGTATGAGTAGTTGACCGGGGGAAAAACATGTAGGACTTAGAAAATTTTCTAAGTGTAGATTTTCCCTTGGGAGCCTTCGGGAGATGGCATCCCTTCTTGATGTATGAGTAGTTGACCGGAGGAAAAACATGTAGGACTTAGAAAATTTTCTAAGTGTAGATTTTCTCTTGGGAGCCTTCGGGAGATGTCATCCTTTCTTGATGTATGGGTAGTCGACCGGGGGAAAAATATGTAGGACTTAGAAAATTTTCTAAGTGTAGATTTTCCCTTGGGAGCCTTCGGGAGATGGCATCCCTTCTTGATGCATAGCCTTCGACTGTCATATTCATTTAGCTGTAATATCGATTGGGCCGGGGGCCCATCTTTAGGACTTAGATTTTTTTTAAGTGCTGCTTCCTTGTGTCGCCTTCGGGTGATAGGTGCCCTCTGACTCTGCATCACTTTGCGAGATGCCCGGGGGCTACTCATTTAGGACTTAGAATATTTTCTAAGCGTAAATTGATGTTGAGCTTCCGGATGTAGATCCCTCCGGGTATATGAATAGGACCCTTCGGGTGATCGTGAGGCCCTTGTGTTGTATGGGACTAAGCAAAATTTCACAGAGTGTCGTAGATGTTGAACCTTCGGTCAGTGTGGAGTCTGTCCGAGGGGCAAATATTTTGGAATAGTTCCCCTCCGTTGGCTTTTGATGATTTGTAATATATGCCTTCGGTTGTCTGGTGATATATTAGCCTCCGGTTGCCGTCATTTTCCAAAAGTGTGGACTTAGCAAAAGTGTGGAATCCTGTTGTTGTGAAGAAAGCCAATGATGAGTGTGTGCCCTCGGCATACACTTTGAAAAGTTGTAGAGTTTGACTTAGCCAGTTATGTCCCTTGTAATGGGACAGGGGCCCTCGGTATTTAGTGCATAACAGGTGCCTTCGGTGTTTGAAGTACCGTTTAGTGGACCTTGGATAGTCCAGTCCCCTTGTATTGTTGAAGCCCTCAGGGCTTGTGTGACCGGAGGTGACCAAGCAGTGGACTTAGCCGTTTCTTGATGATATGTGTTTGAGTACTATCCTTCGGGAAGTAGGAGCCTTCAATTACCGGAGGTGTTCCCGTGGGAGCCCTCGGCATGTTGTGACCTGTCGGAGTGTACTCTTTGATTTCTCGCTGAGTCTACTCCATTTCACCCCCTCTTTTTTTTTTGGTTGGTGATGAAGGGAAGGCATCAAGAAACTTGGTTTCTTGGTAAGGCTGGGCCTATTAGGAGACCATCAGAATACATCAATGGCTCTCCTCCCTCGGGTTAACCTTCCGAGTTCCGAGGGGATCGAGGGTTGTTTCCTGGGCACAAGATATGGTAGTCTGTAACCTGCCTCCCCTTGGGGGATGGCGCGGAAAGCGCCTCATTTTTGAAAGTCGTCCCCTCGGCGCTAGACATAGTCCGTGGCCTGCCACACCCTTGGGGTGGTGGCGCGGGGAGCGTTTCGGTTTGGAAGTCGAATCCTGGGCATTTCTCGTGCCTGTCATACCCTTGGGATGATGACGCGGATACCGTTCCGTTTTTGAAAGTCGAATCCTGGGCATTTCTCATGCCTGTCATACCCTGGGGGTAGTGACGCGGAAAGCGTTTCAAGGAAGGGTTTTTATTTGCACACTAGTTGCAAATGGCCGGGGGCACTACGTGCCGCCGGCACCGATGGTGGCGCCTTCGGTATATGCATCCTCGTGGGGTACGGCTTTTAGAAACAACACTTGGTGTTAGTTTCGATGTGTAGCCCCCGGTACCGAGGGGTCTTCTGTGGGAACACTTAGTGTTCTTTTTTGTTGTAGTTGATGGAGGTGTCTACCCTCGGTACTTGGTACTGAAGGGTCTTCAAATGAAACACCTGGTGTTTTGATTGGAGTGTCCGCTCTCGGCGTTAGGTGCCGGAGGGCCCTCGGAGGAAACACTTGGTGTTCCCCAACAGATGTTTGGAAGTTGATAGGAGAGCATATCCCTGGCACTGGGTGCCGAGGGGTCTTCTTTGAAACGTTTGGTGTTTCTCCTTGTTTTGATGTTGATGATGGAGGAGTACCCTCGGCACTGGGTGCCGAAGGGAAATGAAACACTTGGTGTTTTCTTGTCGTTGGTGGTGGGAGTTCCCACCCTCAGTACTTGGTACCGAGGGGTCTTGTTTGAAAACACATGGTGTTTTCCTGTTGTTGTAGGTGTTGATGGTGTCCGCCCTCGGCACTTGGTGCCGGAGGGGGCTCTTCTCGTGGTGAGGCCGGGGGCCTGTAGTCAGTATGAGGGCTTGGCATCTTGAATGTGTCTTCATTCCTCAAAAGTGGAGGCCTTGGGCCAAAGGGTAGTATATTCATTAGTTATGAGGGCTTGGCCGCTCTTACATTATTGGTAAAATTTAACTAAATGGTGTACATTCCAGTGCCTAGGGACCTCTTTCCCGTTAGGGCGTTTGAGCTTATAAGTCCCAGGTTTGATGATGGCTGCTATGATGTAGGGGCCTTCGAATTTTGGTGCCATTTTTCCTCCCTCGGTTGGTTGGCTGGCTTCCCTCCTCCGGAGGACATAGTCTCCCACTTGAAATTCTCGGGTGCGAACTTTGGCGTCGATGTAGCCTTTGACTTGCCTTCGGTAGTTTTCTGCCCGGATGAAGGCTTGCTCCCGGCGTTCTGAAAGGAGGTGGAGGTCGAGGGCCATGTTGCTGTCGTTGACCTCGGGGTCATATTGGATCACCCTTCGGGTGGGAAGGGTGACTTCCGTAAGAGCTTTGGCTTCAAACCCGTAGCAGAGGGAGAAGGGTGTTTCACCTGTTTCTCGCCGAGAGGTGGTGCGGTAGGCCCACAGGATGTTGTGGAGTTCTTCCACCCAGCCACCGCCCTCGGCCTCCAGCTTCTTTTTGAGGCCCTCGAGCAAGGTCCGGTTGGCATTCTCTACTTGCCCGTTGCCTTGAGGGTAGGCAACGGAGGAGAAGGTGTGTTTGATGCCCCATGCCTCCAGAAGGGCACAGAAGGGGGCTGCCTCAGATTGTGTCCCATTGTCGGAGATGATCTGCTGGGGGACGCCAAACCTTGTGAGGATGTTCTTGAGGACGAAATGACGGCACTTTGCCTCTGTGATGCTGGCGAGGGGTTCAGCCTCCACCCACTTGGTAAAGTAGTTGATGGCCACGATGATGTATCTGTTGTTGGAGGTACCCCTCGGCAGAGGGCCCACCAGGTCTATCCCCCATCGAGAAAAGGGGACAGATGTGCTGATGGGGGCATAGTTGACCGCTGGCCTGCCGGGGGCTTTCTGGAAATGTTGACATGCGGTGCACCTCCGGGCAAGGTCAGCACAATCTCTGGCCATGGTTGGCCAGAAGTAGCCCTGGAGAATGAGCCTTCGGGACATGGAGAAGGGTCCCTGGTGAGCTGAGAAAGTGCCACTGTGCACTTCCTCCATTGCGACCTCGGCCTTATCTTGATGAAGGCACCGAAGTAGCGTGCCATTGTAAGATCGTTTGTAGAGCCTTCCATCTTCGATGGTGTAGCTAGGAGCCCTCAGCTTTGCCAGTTTAGCGCGAGTCTCATTCTCGGGTAGCTGCCCTGTGGAGATGAAGGCGGTGATATCTGAGATCCAATCCTCTTGGCGTTGTTGTATGTTCATAACGGGGCTTGCATGGATACTTGAGAGGCTGAGTTCCTCAATTTTGGCAATTTTGGAGATGTGCTCGGGGGAGTCGGCCGAGAGCTTAGATAATATGTCGGCCTCGGAGTTCTGAGCCCTTGGTATTTGAGTGAGAGAGTGTGCCTCAAATACCTTAAGCAACTCCTTGGGTGCTTCCTTGTACTGTTTCATTCTTCCCTCCTTGGCCTCATATTCCTCGGAGATTTGGCCAACGACCAACTTGGAGTCACATTTGATGTGGATCTGCCGAGCCCTCATGTTGGCAGCCAGCCGAAGGCCACATAGGAGGGCCTCATATTCGGCCTCGTTATTGGAGACTTTGAAGGAGAAGCGGATTGCGTAGTAGGCTCTGAAGCCCTCGGGAGTAATGAGGACTACCCCTCCCCCGCATGCTTTGGTCGCGGAGGAGCCGTCGGTGTAGAGGGTCCACCAGTCGTCCAAGGTAGCCGAGGGCTCCCCGTCCGTGGCTGCCCTTGCGGTACACTCCGTCACAAAGTCCGCCAGGGCTTGGCCCTTGATGGCAGGCCTCAGACGGATGTCAATGTTGTACTGGCTCAAGAAGATAGCC